TCAAAACATTGTTTGCATGTAAGAACTTGTTTGCATTTGAATGATTATCTTAATACAATGAGCATGTTTGTCTTGAAGAAATTCATTCGTTTCACTCATATTTGTTTTCAAATTTTAAATTGCTTTTTGCATTATGATACTAACTTGTTGCCCAGTCTCTTGCCTAGGCAGAGATTGAAGGGAGGATGATGATCTAAAGAACACGAAATCTCTGGTTGCATGCTTTTGGATAAAATCTTGCTGATGATGTACAGGCATTGTTTCAAATCCCTAAACACCGGAGATATAAGGAAGATAATCCCTTGATAACCCCTTTGAGCCTTGAAGTAGGAGTTTCTTTTCTATACGAAAAACCCTCAAATTTTAACCTGGGGCAGGGTAGTTTTCAGTTAATCTGATTGAGTGTTCAAAATTCATAAGGAAGATGTTTTTTGAAGAGAAACTACAAGGGCTATCCTTCATGTATAATGAATCTAGAGGATGTGGAACCACAATGTTATCCCTCATTCATCAAGAAACGAGGCAATCACAATCTTCTCAACAAGCAAATGCAAGCTAATGTCACACATTTTGTTCAAAAAGTCAAAAATCAAGAAAAAAAGAAAAAGCCTGCTAAGTCAAAAACATGAAAACTTACGACTTAGGCAAAAACTAAGGCACCCCGCTGGACTATCAATTCAAAAAAATTAGTTCAGGCAAAAATTAGGGAAAATAAAAATTGCAAAGAAAGGACTGCAAAGAAAAGTCCTCAGCAAAGAACAAATTGGTGACTACAAACACGAAGACATGAGGGTGGTTTCTACTCCAAAAGCCTCGTCGTTTCCTTGACCGTCACAAAATCCTTTTGAGAGATGAACACTCATGTTGAATTAACTGAACATAGGGTTGGAGAACATCTTGAAGAATGGGTGGGCACCAAATATTTTGAGCCTTAAAATCTTTTTCTAAAAAACCATGAACCAGACCACGTTACAACCTTCAAAAGTCCTAATTGAAGCAAGGTTATTTTGAAAGCATACTTCAATGAGATAGTGTTCCTGACTCCCATGCATGTTCTAAATAGTTATGTTGGTATCATATGTTCTTCCTATACAAAAATAAATGATGCGCTAACTCGCAAAATTTGTGCGATATCTTTTCAAAATCTTCAAGACTTACATAACTGTTGCATTAGAATTTTCATTCTCATAATAAAATTTTCTAACTGCAAAACATTTGTTTGATATCAAGGAAGCTCACATAAGCACCAGTGATGAGTTTATTCTTTTAAGGCTTGAAACTATGTTGAGTAATTGGCGAATCATTTCAAGAAAAAAAATCATATGCAGGGGCATGTCACCTGAAGACCTTAAGCACGGACATGTTGCTTCTCCTAATTAATGCTTTCCCAACTTGTTTACTCTTTTGGGGCAAAATTTGAAGACTTTGTTGTGACAACTACAGTCAATCCGGGGCAATCACGTCGAGATTTGATGAATTCCTCTAAGAGTTTGAAGACACCAGAGCATGGTGAATGCCAGGTCTTTTGTAAAATCCTCTTGAGACGATTTCTCCTCATCCAACCATATAGCTTGGGGCATTTTAGAAGTGAAGCTATTCGCAAGAATCGTCGTGCAACATGCAGCTCATCAGCAGTAAACTTGGGGGCATCCAAAATTAATCCCAGGGGCAATCCAGATTTGTCAAGATATGTTGTTCATACATTATCAGAGGGTGGTGTTCCCAGTATCTCCAGCTAAGTATGACTTTTTCCAGCTGAAACTTTGTTTGTGTTGTTATCCTTTCATTGGATTGTTTTCAATAGAAGACTAGACTTTGGGTTTTCTACCTGAAAATATCTTCCTCATCCAGAGATATTTAAGCCTTGTAAAAGGACCTTGCTCCAATGATGGCCTATGTTTTATCTCCAGTAATGTTCCCATCCTGTTGAGATTAGCCGAGTGTCGAGTTGTACTATGACGTCTTATCATCTTCAGTCTATCTCCCTTGTCTATTTTGTCAGCATATACATGACATTCATTTATTCATTCACACTTGCATCATGCATGCACAGTTGTATTTGTTGATGTCATTGAGTTCGTACACCTTGGTTATGTCTATTCGAATAACATATTTGATCTTTTCCAAATAGAGTGTCAACTTAAGCATAAAGTGTGCCTTCTTTCTAATTCCCCACTGAGTTAACTCTCGTGGAAGAATCTTTCTTTCCTTTTCCATCTCTGGATAAGATAAATCCCCATTTGAGTTATTTCCTCATTAGGTGGAGTCTTGTTTGACTGTTTTCTCTCCAGTTTATTCCTGGATTGAGCTGTGTCTCTTGTGAACGATACCCTGTGAATGTCTCTAGGCTGTGAAACCTAGATGGAAAGTACATTTATTTTGCAATATAAATACTTGGTCTTCTCAGGAAGGATCCATTCTTGGTTTCCCATTGAAGATGAACTTTATTCCCCAGTAGTGTTATCACAACCTTCTTCTGGAATATCGACATGACAACAAGCGACTGACTCTTTATTTGAGCAGTTTGATTATTTCTGATTTCTCTACAACAAATGGCGGTCTCTTCATGAGCAGTTTGTCCATCCTCGATGAAACTATTGATTCTCACCTCCAGCAATATCTTCACGATATTTTATGGGTATCTTTTTGACAAACAGCAAGCGGCAGTCTCTTCATGAGGCAACTTGTGTGTTATGGATACTCTTGACAAACAGCAAGCGGCAGTCTCTTCATGAGGCAACTTGTGTGTTATGGATACTTTTAAAAACAGCAAGCGGCAGTCTCTTCATGAGGCAACTTGTGTGTTATGGATACTCTTGACAAACAGCAAGCGGCAGTCTCTTCATGAGGCAACTTGTGTGTTATGGATACTTTTAAAAACAGCAAGCGGCAGTCTCTTCATGGACAACTTGTACGTTATCAACACTTTTAAAAACAGCAAGCGGCAGTCTCTTCATGGACAACTTGTATGTTATCAACACTTTTAAAAAAAGCAAGCGGCAGTCTCTTCATGGACAACTTGTATGTTATCAACACTTTTTGAAAACGGAAAGTGGCGGTCTCTTCATGAGCAGCTTGTACGGAAAATGGCAAGCGGCAGTCTCTTCATGGACAACTTGTATGTTATCAACACTTTTTGAAAACGGCAAGTGGCGGTCTCTTCATGAGCAGCTTGTACGGAAAATGGCAAGTGGCAGCTTCTTCATGAGCAGCTTGTACGTTAGTATTTTTGGAAGACAACAAGTGGCAGCTTCTTCATGAGCAGCTTGTACGTTAGTATTTTTGGAAGACAGCAAGTGACAACTTATCTATTTGAGCAACTTGTGTTATTGTTCCCTTGAAGACAACAAGTGGCAGCTTCTTCATGAGCAGCTTGTGGGTTATTGGCAACAAGTGGCAGACTCTTCATGAGCAGCTTGTGTGCTTTGATATTCTTTGAAGACAGCAAGTGGCAGCTTCTTTATGAGCAGCTTGTGGGTTTTTGGCAACAAGTGGCGGACTCTTCATGAGCAGCTTGTGTGCTTTAATATTCTTTGAAGACAGCAAGTGGCGGCCTCTTTATTTGAGCAGCTTGTGTATCCCCAACAATAATGTTTACTCAGCAAATGGCATCCCTTCGGAAAAGTCCCATGGGGAAGTTTGTTATTTTATCCTTTTCAAGCGATATCTTGGTTAAAGAAGAAATGTGTTACCGTTCTTGGTAAAATTCAGAAATCAGAGATGTTTATCTCCAGCCACAGTGTTGATGTCAATCATTTTCCAGTCTCAGTGCTGATGTCAATCATTTTCCAGTCTCAGTGCTGATGTCAATCATTTTGTTTCCCAGCCACAGTGCTGATGTCAATCATTTTATTTTCCAGCCACAGTGCTGATGTAAATCATTTCTTTTTCCAGCCACAGTGCTGATGTAAATCATTTCTTTTTCCAGTCTTCGTACTGATGTAAATCATTTCTTTTCCAGTCTCAATACTGATGTAAATCATTCAAGAGTCTCTCATTTGAAGTCTATGACTTTGTTTCCCCAGTGGTGTTATAATCGGTTCCCCTGTAGGGTTACAATAATATGCTTGGTTTCTCCAGCATAGTTTGTCTCATATGGTGTCATTCCCCATAAAATTCAAAACATCACATTCATATCATATCATAAACATAATTGCGGTATCTTAAGGACAAAAATTGTGTATTCTATATTTAAGTCCCTTCAATCTCGTCGAAATGAAGATCCCAATCTTCATATCTCCAGATAGAAGAAACTTAAATAGGGGCAGCTGTTGTACCCCAATTTTTGACCTAAGATCCCATCTTTATTTTTGCATTTTTTGATAAGTCAAGTTCACGAAATACGGTCGGTTTTAACGTCTCACTTTCGAGCTTTGACTATGCGAAGAAAGATCAAGTTTGCAAGTTGATTCAAAGCATTTCGATCAAAAGTCAACTCTTGCAAGTTCAATTTCAAACGGTCATAACTTCTTCAATTTTCAACGTCCTGAGGCGTTTCTTTTGCAAAGTATCACGAATAGCGTTGTTTATGAGATTACTTCGAAGATTAAAGTTCAAGTCATGCCACAGACGTTTTCTCAAGAACGTTTGTTTTTTCTGCTGGGATGATTCATGAAACTGGAGTTTTAGTCCAATGATTCTTTGATTGCTTATGGACTACTTCAAGTCACTTTGCAATTGAACTGTAGCGATCATTGGATTAAGGTAGATTGTCGATTAAATTTCTTAAAGGCACGATTTACGCTATTGGTCTGTTTTGTAAATTACTATGAGGTGAAGACGCGAATCAGGGTTGAGAATTCCTTGAATTCTTGTGGTTTGCAAGCTAACTTGGATTTGAGATTTGAATTAAGATTTGGATTCATTGTTGTGAAGTTTTCTTTCAAGTAACCAATACCATAAAGCCAAAATATCCGAATTTGTCAAATAACATTAGGGTTCTTATCATTCGACGGAGCAGTCGAGCATCTCAGCGAAACGAAAATGCCGTCTCATAAGACCTTCATGATCAAGAAGAAATTGGCGAAGAAGATGAGGCAGAACAGGCCCATCCCTTACTGGATCCGGATGAGGACTGACAACACCATCAGGTATAACGCTAAGCGTCGTCACTGGCGCCGTACCAAGCTTGGATTCTGAGGTTCTTGCTTTCCTGAGTTTAATTTCATTAGGGTTTTTGTTGATTTTTGTTTAATTTAAGTAATACAATGGATATTATTGAATTGTAATGCCATATTTTTGAACTATGAGAATTTATTGTTGTCAATTACTTGCTTAACATCTTTTTTAAAAATCAATTGGGATTCTTTGCACTCTAATTTGAATTATTATACTTTTCGATGATTATTTTATTAGTTTTGATGTTTTAAGTAATGTCTAGTTGATCTATTTCGTTGTTTGTACTGGTGTGTCCACTTTAGGTAGAGAATTTTTTTTCCTTTAGAGCAATTTTGTGTAACAAGACATATTAATTACCACTAGTATGCCATTAAATAGTTTCTTTTCTTTGTTTATACAATCTTGTTTAATTCACATTCTGGGGAACTGCAATCTGTAAATCATTATCTTGACAGCCAAACCCCTTCAGTTGTTTACTATTTAAAATCTTGCACATTTCTATGAGTGGTTTTTGAATAATAAAATAACACGAGATCTTTACTTTCATTAGTTTGTTAAATTGTTGTGAACTTGTCAATTAGTATGCTGCTCCAAACCCTGCACATTAGTCCAGAAATAATGCCCAAAACTTGCCAAAAACCTGCTACTGCTGTGATGTAAAACCTGTACCAAAACTTGCCAAAAACCTGCTACTGCTGTGATGTAAAACCTGTACCAAAACTTGCCAAAAACCTGCTACTGCTTTGATGTAAAACCTGTACCATAACTTGCCGAAAACCTGTCCAAAAACAGTCTAAACTTTCACAAAAATAGAAAAGTAGAAACTGCATCAAAAGGAGATGAAACAAGGCACTGCATTCACCAACCTTTCCCCCCAAAAATTTCATTATGTTATCTCTATAAACCTAGACTTGGTTAACGAAAAGAGATAGATATAGATACCAGCAACATAAAAAATCTGAAGAAAAAAGAATCACATCATAAAAACCTCTTCCTAAATCCCACTGTCAACACCAACAACAAGCAGAGAAAACCATAAAAATCACTCACAAAACTCTGCTCATCCACCTCCATTAACCTCGTAACCAAAACCTTAACCCTCCATTATAACTCTGACCTTCATGCTTCACTAAATCTCTTTGCTTAAACCTTCAACCTACTTCATTAAACCTGCAAAACCATACTTCACCTTCAATCTCACATACACAACAACTTCAGAATGTATCACTAAAATACACACTCTCTCTCACAACTAAACACTCACAATAACAACTGAATCCAGAAGCAGTAGAAAAAGTAGAACACAAGTGAGAAGGAATCATTACCTGCGTGTTACCGCCGACATAGCTCGGCCTTGCCTTTTCCTTTTAGAATCAAATAAAAGAAGAAGAAAAGTTGGTTAAAGCCGCAATAACCTGTGAACCACTTTCAGACAACCTCTGTGAGACACCACTACCACTTCATTGTCTTCCACCCCTGACCAACCCAGGAGCCACCATTCGCGAGCTGTTTGCAACTTCCAACCCTATTATAACTCTGTTCGCCAGATACTCCCTATGTAATCTGTAAACTCTTTGTCCACTTACAAACACTGGATACTCCTTCTCAGCGGTTACGCTACAGACTGACCAACACCAATAGACACCACTGTATCACCACCATCTCATCACCAACTGTTCAACAACACGGTCAAACAACTATGTCAAGCGCATACTCCTGCTCACTCCAATTGCTACAGCTTAGAACAACACCCTTCATACTCCCACTCTTCCTCGTCCGTCACTTTTCTGATTCCGCTCTCCTTTCATCCACGAGCAGATACCCCCTCTTTCACTTTCACTTGACTCGTTTCATTTCAAATTTCAATTATAACTCAGATTCGTTTTGGTTGAAGTAGTAATCAACAATCGTTAATGGCGGAGATGAAGCTTCTATTCATCATCGCCTTCTCAATTTCTTCTCTCATTTCCACCGTCAGATCTGATTCGTCAGATCACTGTTACAAAGAAGCAGATTTTGTTCCTCTTTTCGCTAACAAAGTTGGTCCTTTCCATAACCCCAGTGAGACTTATCGTTATTTTGATCTACCATTCTGTTTTCCAGATCATTTGAAAGAGAAGAAGGAAGCATTAGGTGAAGTGTTGAATGGGGATCGTTTGGTTAGTGCTCCTTATAAGCTTGAGTTCCAACGGGAGAAGGACTTTGTTTCAGTTTGCAAGAAGACACTTACAAAGGAAGATGAGGCGTGCTAGAAACAAAGGAAGGTGGAAGTGAGAAAGAGACATACGGTGGATGTGCTTAATTGGAAAAGTTAAAGAAGTCAAAACCTCAATAAGGCGCCGCTGCTGGTATTCATGGTTGGTCTAAAATTTATGTTTGTTTATTATCAATGGCACTCATTCAAAATTAGGGTTAATATCTTTATGTTGAGTTTGGACCTAAAGGGCCAATAACATGCTTATATACACCCTTTTTATTTCTTTATACTTTTAGATATTTAGGTTAATGCAATTAAATTCCTTTTAATTAGTTATAAAAAATAAAAAAAATATATTAGTAAATCTTATAATTAATTTAGTTTAATATTAATTTAGAATTCTTTAATTAGTTTAGATTTATTTTATAACTTTAGAATTTTATTTCATTTAGTAAATTTTAGAATTTTATTTGTTTTAGTTTAGTTTAATAACTTTAGAATTTTATTTGATTTTATTTGAATTAACTTTAGAATTTTATTTGTTTAGTTTTAGTTTAATAACTTTAGAATTTTATTTGATTTAGAATTAGTTTAATAAATTTATAATTTTTATTTGATTTAGAATTAGTTTAATAAGTTTATAATTTTTATTTAGTTTAATAACTTTAGAGTTTTCATTCGATTTAAATTTAGTTTAGTAGTTCTAGAATTTTATTTGATTTAGATTTAGTTTAGTAACATTGAAATTTTCATTTGTTTTAGATTTAATTTAGTAACCTTAGGATTTTAATTTAATCTAGATTTAACTTACTAAATTTTAAAGCTTTAGTTTAGTTTAGATCAAATTCAATAATACTAGATTTTTTTATAACCTTAGAATTTGTAATTAGTTTAGAATTATTTTAGTAAGTAATTTTTTAATTTAGTTCGAATAACTTCTTTAGATAATTAGTTATATTCCTTTTTATTTGTATATTTCTGTCATATCAATTTCTCGGTGCCTCTTGATCATTAATTTGTTTTTGTCAGATTTATTTTCTTGTGAACTTTTGAATGTTTATATTTTGATGTTCATTTCATTTTGCTTACTCCAAGGAAAAGATTTAAATTTGTTGACTTCACGTCATCAAATACACCCCATCTGATCGTGCGAATACCCTTTTTTTTCATTTTTTGTTTGGTTACTATTTTGCTAAACTCAAGATAATTTTCCCAAAAGACCCCATTTTCAAACTCACACCTTTTAAGTCAAAACTTCGACACGAGGTCGTCGTATCTTCAAAATCTCATCCATACCCATTTTGACCAAATAAACCATTTTAATCAAACAAACAATTTCTAACCAAAAAACAGATATTTCAAAAGGTTCCTGCGGAGTACCGCAGATGCATTGGGTGCTAATACCTTCCCATTGTATAACCAACCCCCGAACTCTCGATCTCTTTCAAAAAACGCATTGTATTTTTTATTACTTTTAAGTATTATTTTACATTGCATACTTTAGGGTTTTATTTCGCTCTTTTCCCTTTTCCCTTGGAAATAATAAAGCGCGGTGGCGACTCTTGCTTTTGTGAGTTAAGTTAATTAATAGCTTGATCTCCGATTTTCACCGCTACAGTATGCTTGAAGACCACATGCAATCTTTGGTATCTTGATAGTGGTTGTTCAAAGCATATGACGGGAGACTTAAACCAATTTTCAAATCTAGTACTAAATGCCAAGGGTTTTGTCACTTATGGAGACAATAGTAAGGAAAGGATTCTTGGCAAAGGCAAAGTTGGTGCTCCACCTTTCACATCCATTGAAGATGTTCTTTATGTTGAAGGACTAAAGCACAATCTTCTTATTATTAGCCAACTTTGTGACAAAGGCTTCAAGATCAAGTTAACCAAATATGAATGCTTGATAGAAGATGAAGTCATGCATGAGGTTATACTTAAAGGTAAAATAATTAATAATATATTCATGATTTCCCTTGATGATCCATCTTTGAAGGTAAAATGTCTCATGGCGAACAACGATGATTCATGGCTTTGGCACAAAATAGTTGCTCATATTCACATGGAACACTTGAATAAACTAATCAAGCATGATATTGTCATTGGGTTTCCTAAGAGAAATTTTGTCAAAGATAGACTTTGTGATGCTTGTCAAAAAGGGAAACAAACAAAATCAACTTTCAAATCTAAGAATGTGGTGTTTACTACAAGGCCACTACAATTGTTGCATATGGACTTATTTGGTCCATCAAGAACAAGAAGTTTCAGAGGTAATGTATTTGCTTTGGTTATTGTTGATGACTTCTCTATATATACTTGGACATTCTTTTTAGTGCATAAAAGTGATGCATTCAAGGCGTTCAAGAAGTATGCTAAACAAATTCAAAATGAGAAGTCTCTAACAATTGCCTCCATAAGACGTGATCATGGCGGAGAATTTCAAAATGCTCTATTTGAAGAATTTTATGGAGAACATGGAATATCTCACAACTTCTCGGAACCAAGGACTCCTCAACAAAATGGAGTGGTGGAAAGAAAGAATGGGTCTCTTGTAGAGCTTGCAAGAATAATGATTAGCGATTCAAATCTTCCAAAATATTTTTGGGCGGATGCGGTGAGCACGACATGTTTTGTTAGCAATAGAGTTAACATAAGACCAATCTTGAAGAAAACTCCATATGAAATTTTCAAAGGGAGGAAACCAAACATTTCTTTCTTTCACATTTTCGGTTGCAAATGCGTTGTCTTAAACAACAACAAAGATAACTTTGGTAAGTTTGATGAAAAATCCGATGAAGGTATTTTTCTTGGCTACTCTCTTTCTAGTAAGGCATGTAGAATTTATAACAAAATAACTTTAACAATTGAAGAATCAATGCATGTATCTTTTGATGAATCTAACCCCTCCAAGGAGGATAATATTGTTTGTAATGATGATGATGATGATGAAATACTAGAAGGTCCTCAATGAAATACTTCCAAAGATCAACTAATTCAACTAGAAGAATCACCCCAACAAGAATCAAATTTCAATGATCTACCAAAAGAATGGAGAACTCATAGAGACCATCCTATCGATAAAGTAATTAGTGATATAAGTCAAGGTGTGACAACAAGACTAAATCTCAAAGATGCTTGTCTAAACATGGCATTTGTCTCTCAAATTGAACCTTTCAAAGTTGATGAAGCCTTAGGGGATGACCAATGGATTATTGCTATGCAAGAAGACTTAAATCAATTTGAAAGGAATCAAGTTTAGGAACTTGTCCCTAGGCCAAGCAACAAACACATTATTGGAACAAGATGGGTGTTTAAAAAGCAAACTTGACGAAAATGGAATAATTGTTCGAAACAAAGAAAGGTTGGTAGCACAAGGCTACAATCAAGAAGAAGAAATAGATTTTGAAGAAACTTTCTCTTTGATTGCAAGGTTAGAAGCTATTCGTCTTTTACTTGACTATGCTTGTTCATTAAATTTTCAGCTTTTCCAAATGGATGTCAAAAGTGCATTCTTGAATGGATATATCAATGAAGAAGTCTATGTTAAGTAACCCCCGGGGTTCGAAGATTTCAAGAATCCATCTCATGTATTTAAATTGAGAAAAACTCTTTATGGTTTGAAACAAGCACCAAGGTCATGGTACGATCGGCTAAGTAACTTCCTATACGAAAAAGGTTTTGAAAAGGGTAAAGTTGACAAGACATTGTTTATTAAGAAAATCAAAGGTGACACTTTTCTAGTTCAAGTCTATGTTGACGATATCATTTTCGGCTCTTCAAACAAATAAATGTGTGAAGAATTTTCAGCAATGATGCAAGGAGAATTTGAGATGTCCATGATGGGTAAAATGAATTATTTTCTTGGACTTTAAATCAAGCAATTAAAGGATGGAATCTTCATCAACCAATCCAAGTATTGCAAGGAACTGTTGAAAAGATTTGATATGGATAACTGTAAGGTAATGTCTACACCAATGGGGTCCGATACATATGTTGATCAAGATGAATCAGGTGTTTCCATTGACATTACAAAATATCGAGGTATGATTGGCTCCTTATTATATCTGACGGCAATCCGTCCTGACATAATCTTTAGTGTTTGTCTATGTGCTCGCTTTCAAGCAAATCCAAAGGAATCTCATCTCATGGCGGTGAAACGGATCATGAAGTATCTCAAAGGAACAACAAATGTTGGATTATGGTATCCTAAAGGTAGTGTTTGTAATTTAGTTGGTTATTCTGACACGGATTATGCAGGTTGTAAAACTGATAGAAAAAGCACAAGTGGTACTTGTCGCATCCTTGGAAATGAATTAGTATCATGGGCTTGTAATAAACAAGCATGTGTTTCTCTTAGCACGACCGAAGAAAAATATATTGCAGCGGCTAGTAGTTGCGCTCAAATATTGTGGCTCAAGCAATAACTTCGTGACTATAGACTCGATCTAGGATGCATTCCTCTACGGTGCGACAATACAAGTGCAATAAACATAACAAAGAACCCGCTCATGCATTTAAGAACCAAACACATAAACATACGACATCATTTCCTTCATAATCATGTACTTCAAGGAGATGTCAAGGTTACATTTGTAGGTACACATAATCAACTTGTCGATATCTTCACTAAACCTTTGGCAAGAGAACCGTTTTACAAGATTCGACAAGAACTTGACATTCTTAATGAACACGACATATAAGGTGCTTTCTATCCTTTTTATGCTTTCACATACCTGTTTTAACTTTGTTATATGTGAATATATATGTTTAGTGGTGTTTAAGTTTAAGAAAAAATATGTTTTTGGTCATTTTTGGTTGATGCAAATCGATTGCAGAATAGTGTAAATCGATTGCTCACTGTATGTTTTATTTCTTGACCTTTCTGTTTTCAGTGCAAATCGATTGCACACTATGCGTTTCAATTTTATTTTGATTCTATTTTGTGTGCAAATCGATTGCATTTGTATACAAATCGATTGCACCTACTGTAACATGCTTTTATGACAGGAATATTTGTTGGTCAGAATTCCTCTCTCTCTCTCATATTCCCAAGCTC